TGGGCGTTATTTTTCCGAATTATCTGAGCAAAAAGCTGCAGCAGTAAGGAACCCCTTGCTAAGCCTCGTTTAGATGTTGATGACGTTCCTGATGAAGTCCAGGATACATTTTTACAGTTGAGGAATGATTCCACAGCTCTTGCCCTATTTCAGGAAAAAATCTTGACTGAATTTTAATGTGCCATGCATAGTTCATATCCTTATGTCGCCCTGCTTTCTTTTTGGATAGTAATACCATTTGCCTCTACTTGCCTACCTTCGTGAAAGTGGTTTTTTAACTCTTTTGCAAATTAGAACAAAGGCCAGAAATAGACTGGGAGTTGAAGATGACATAAGATTGGCTTTAACAAAAACTCAACCAAGATTTTCAAAACTTGTTACCTAGATGCAAGCTCAGTCATCTAACAAAATAAAAATTGACTTTTTGTATTTAGTTACGAAATATTAATATTTCTGTTAAAGATTTCTCGAATAAATGAAATTTAGTTTTTTATTTATTAATGGGTAGGGAGGGGTCGCGACCTTGTGAGTAAATCTGTAAAAGGGTCGTGCCTAAAAAAAGGTTGGGAACCACTGTTCAAAAGAATTTGATCAAGTTTGAAGAAAATTTAGAGCGGAAATACAAACTCATCAAGTCTCAAATAGACTCTTATTGGAATTATTGGATTTTCATGATACTTAATAAATATATATGTATTTTTTTTAATTTGCGTTGAATTTCTTCTCGATTGACGATTTCTCCGTCTCAATTTTTGTTTTTGTCTATTTCTGGTTTCTAAATTTTTATTTTCTTCTAAAATTCTTTGTGTGACCACTTTTCCTTAATTGTTCTGAATTTCCTGTCTTTTTTTTCAATTTTTTTAAACTTAATTTATTTTGTATTCCCGGCATTTGAATTTTTGTTTTTATCCATTTTTTATTAATTTGTCCTTTCAACTTCCTCTTTATTTCACATTTCTTATCTTTTTTTTTTAAATTTTTTCGTCTAAATTTTTGTCAATTTCCGTCTCCTGAATATTCAATTTTTCTAATGTTTTTTTTTTCTCAATATATTCGTTTGAATTTTTGCGACCATAAAACCGCCATTTTCAGAAAATGGATTAAGAATCGATTTGATTGGATGATTTCTTTCAAAGTTCAATTCAACAATCAGGAGAAATTGTTAAACAAGGAATTCCAGAAAACAAAAATTCAAAAGCTGATTTCTTTTTTTGTTGAGATTTTCCCTAAATTTCTTTTCCTTTTTTTAATTTTTTTTTGTCTATTTTCTGTTTCCTGGCTCTTGAATTTTAGTTTTGTTCTAAAATTCTTTGTATAATTTTGGTATGATAAATTTCTGATCTTTCTCCTTTTATCCTGAAAGTTTCAAAATTTTCCTCTATCTGGTTTTTTCAGAAATCATCAAAATATAATAGGATGCATTTTTCTTAGTTTTGTATATTAAAAATGATTTTCTGGAATTTCTTATGTTGTTGTTTTCTACTGGATTAATCTGAAATTTTAATATAACGAACTCTTAGTTTTCCTCTTCTCACCCTAGAAATTTCAAAATTCTTTTTTCAGTGAGTTTTTCCAGAAATTCTCAAAATATTAGAGGTGCATGTTTATAGTTTTGTATTTTAAGGTTGATTTGTTATGTTACGTTGTTGTTTTCTACAGCATCAATTTGAAATTTTAGTATGATGAACTTCTGGCCTTTCTGTTTTCATCCTGAAAGTGTCAAAATTTTCCTCTCTCTGATTTTTTCAGAAATCTTCAAAATATAAGAAGGTGCATGTTTCTTATAGTTTTGTATTTTAATTTTTAAGGTTGATTTGGGAATATTGAATATTGTTGTTTTCTACAGGATCAATTTGAAATTTCAGTACGATGAACCTCTAGTCTGGCCGTCCTCTTTTCATCCTAAAAGTTTCAAAATTTTCCTCTTTCTAATTTTTCCAGAAATCTTCAAAATATAATGGGGTGCATTTTTCTTAGTTTTGTATATTAAAAATGATTTTCTGAAATTTCTTATGTTGCCGTTTTTCTCTGGATTAATTTGAAGTTTCAGTATAATGAAGTTCTAGTCTTCTTCTTCTCACACTAAAAATTTCAAAACTTTCCTCTCACTGAGTTTTTCCAGAAATCCTCATCTGTACAGGGTGGGCCAATTTGGACACTTTCTTATGGAACACCCTTTATTTTTAGAGATAGAAAAAAATGAACCCCCCACTTTGAGGCTCAAATTTCATGACATTTTGATTGGTGCAAACCGCATTTTGATATCCTCAACCGTTTAGCCTCTAGAGGGTGATTCTCAATTTTGAGCAATAATGTGAAACCATCATAACTTTTTTGTTTATGAAAATTATTGATTTCTGTAAAAACTTTCTAGGAGCACTTTTTCAAGCAGAATTCAGTGACGTTCTCAGTTTTTTTCTAGTTGGTCCCAACTCTGAGATATAGACCAAAGTCTGGTTTTTTTCAATAGGACACCCTATATATTAATAGCTCATTAGAAAGCTCTGCTTTTTCTGATTTCGATGATATAAAGTTCGATAGGTTTATCTCTAACAGTTTTCGAGAAAAAAAATTATTTCGGTTTTTTTCATAAGAAGCAATGTGTAAGAAAAGGACTTTATATCTGTAAGGAAACTGAGAAGGGTCTCTTTCCAACACATTGTTTCTTATGACAAAAGCCGAAATATTTTTTTTTCTCGAAAACTGTTAGAGATAAACCTATCGAATTTTATATCATTGAAATCGGAAAAAGCAGAGCTTTCTAATGAGCTATTAATATATAGGGTGTCGTATTGAAAAAAATCAGACTTTGGTCAATATCTCGATGTTGAGACCAACTAGAAAAAAACTGAGAACGTCACTGAATTCTGCTTGAAAAAGTGCCTCAAGAAAGTTTTTACGGAAATCAATAATTTCATAAACAAAAAAGTTATGATGCTTTCACATTATTGTTCAAAATCGGGAATCGCCCTCTAGCGGCTAAACGGTTGAAGATATCAAAATGCGGTTTGCACCAATCAAAATTTCATGAAATTTGAGCCTCAGAGTGGGGGGTTCATCTCCAAAAATAAAGGGTGTTTCCATAAGTAAGTGTCCAAATTGGCCCACCCTGTACAATATGTAGGTATTTTAACAATTTTTTTTCTTTGGTTTCATTTCTAAATAAAAAATTTATGAAAACCCAAAAATAAAATCTGCACTTGAAAAGTTTCAGTACGACTTATCGTTATGAAGCCATGGCTGGTTGAAGTTTCAATTTTCGTCATTTTCAGAATTTCCTTTGTTTTTAGGTATAGGGCCAAAAACCAGAGTGAAAATTTGAAGATAGCCATTTTGTAGAGGTGATTCCAAAACTAACTTTTTTCCCTTAATTTTTCGATTTTCCATGACCGGATTTTGAATGAAAAAATCAAACTTCAAAATTTTGGGTAGAGGGGGTTAAATTAAACAAAAAATTCCTCTTGGCATTTTATCGTTTCAGGCTTCCTAACCCCAGAAAAAATTCAAGAGGAAAAATCCAAAATTTCGAATTTTCCAACTTGACATTAAATAGGCCATAACTCTGGAACGTTTGGACCGATTGTAATGAATCTTATTTCATTCGAAAGAGGATTAAAGTGGCTATAAAATTAATTAATTTAATATTAATAACTATCACCACTCCAAAATCATAAAGCTGCAAAGTTGAAATTTACACTAAAATTTTAAAAAAGCTTCAAACTCAAAAAACTAAAAAACCGTAAGTCGTAGAGGAAAAACTCAAATTAGTTTCTTGTAGTACATATTTAGAGCTACAATTTTTATATAAGGAGATTTTTTTCTCAGACGTATCGTTTTGAAGAAGAAATTCCCAAATTAACCTTCACGTACAAAAAAAAAAAGTGATTTGAAAACTACAGCATCCTTGAAAAGTTAAAATTCTTAATTTTGAATCATTGTTTTACTAATTCCCTGATTCTTCTCTAAAAAGACTTTCAAAGATCCTAATCGCGAATCATAATTTTGCAAATTTTCTAGTTTTTCTGAGAAGAAGATTCTCAGGATTTTTGTATACTGTTTGATTTCTTAAAAAAATTATTTGGATTCTGTTTGATTTCTTAAAAAACATTCTTTAGATTCTGATTTGTTCTTTTGCAAATGTGCTGTGTTTTTCTTTGAGAAAACTACAGGATCCTGAAATTCTATGAATTCTTGAAAAGTTCTAAAAAGTCAAAATTCTTAATTCTGATTCATTGTTTTACTAATTTTTTAATTCTTATCTGAAAAAACTTTCAAAATTCCTAATCGTGAATCATTATTTTGTAAACTTTCTGGTTCATCTGAGAGGAAGATTCGCAAGATCCTTGGATTCTATCTGATTTTCTTAAAATTTTCAGATTCTGATTTGTTGTTTTACAAATGTTCTGTTTTTCTTTGAGAAAAGTGATTAAGTATATATAAGTTTATTTAAAAAGAAAAAAAATTCAACAAATTTACTTATTTTTATTTTATTTTCAAGCTACTCTTTGTGAATAAAATACCAATAATAATGAATAATATAAGGAAGTGCTAAAAATTGATTAACCTAGAAGCACCCACTTATAAAGCGTTATTTAATCCATCATATTTCCATACATTAAAACTAATCAAGGCGATTAAAACACCATTAAAAGAACAAGAAAATAGATAAATGCGTAATTCCGGATCTCACCTATTTAAGTATTTGTCAATGGAAAATATAATATAGTCTAGTAATAGTGAGTCATATGGTTCATTAATAAACTATTTTCATTCAATAATTTTTACTTGACAAGGCTAAAAAATTTATTTTCCAAGAAAAATCAACCCAAAAAATCTGAGAAATTAAATACAATATTTAGATCCGGTAAAAAGAAGTGGAATAACCATGAGACCTCAGAGATCAGATTAAAAGCAAAACTTGTTTAACAAGAAGTTTTATATTATAAAAACGGCAGGCAGTACCGCAAGATTGTCCATTTGTTTAAGCGGTTTCACCTACAATGGTACTGATGGCCATGAAAAATAATGTGAAAAAAGTACCGGTGGTGCTGTTTGTTGGTTTGGTACTAGTGAATTTGTGTGAGTTTTGTTTTGGATTTTGTTATTAATTATTGAAAAGGATTAAGTATATTATTTCAGAATTTTATCTGCGTAATTTTTAAAGGTATTGATGGGATTGAAATTACCTACCTATTGATTTTTTGTGGCAATTTTATGAATTTTTACTTTTTATTTTGTCTTTGTTTCTAGCTTTATTAATTATTGAGTTTTCAAATAATCATTAGATATTTTAATCTTTTTATTAACAATTTTATAGATTTTTCTTTTTTCTTTTAAGCTTTATAAATTCTATACAGCGAGTTTTAGAATCAATATTTTGAGTTAATTGTTTTATACCTATTGTCTTTGTTTAAAATTGTTTAATTAATAATTTTTCCTTATTAGTTAAATTAGTGAGTTTTTGATAAAATAATATCTAACTACTTTTCTAGTTCTAGTATTCATCTTCAGATAAACTTGCTGGTAACTATCTGCAAGATAAATTTACCATTCTATATAATTCTATTGGTCAGCGGATAACTTACCAATCAATGGTATTACCTACCTGACAGTTTATCAGAAGCTGAAAAAACCGGTCTAAAAAAGAAAATATAAAATTTAACAATTAAATTAATATTGTAAATTCCCAATAAGATTTCATTGAATTTTCTAATTTTTATTTTTCAATTTTTGTTGCTTGGACTTTGCGCCGTTGCCAAATTTCTTCATTCTTTTGCCTGAAAAATCATACACACGTTGCCATTTTTCGCCAATACTAATAATTCGTACAACAAGAAATTCCAAGCTTTGTGGCAACACTGACTGTTTCAATATTAGATTCTCATTACGCATTGTTGCCACATGGACAATAAATACCTTGATTGATATTTACCGCTTTATTTAAATTGTAATAATTATTATGGGAATCTTTATTACAGGGGTGGCAACTTTTATAATTGTGAATAAACTTTCCAATTTCCATTACAATAATCTATCTACGACTCTTTTTTTTCGTAAAATTATTTTAAAATAGAAATGTATGAAACTGAGGGAAAATTCAAATTTTTTAAGGAAGATATTTGAACGACTGAATTGAAATTTTACAAGCGCTATTAATCATAGATTTGTAGAGAATTTCATTGGCTTTAATTGAAGCCTAATTACGTTAAAATCGGATTGAAATTAACAAAGTTATAAGGCAAAATGTGCGTCAATGTCAAAAACGATTTTTCGAAAAACTGGGCAAATTTTTATGGAATTAGGCACTAGCTGACGTCACACACATAACCTCAATGAGAACTCTGTGTGTAATCGTTCAAACGCTTTGTTTGTCCCCTCAACCGAAGTGAGGTTATGCGTTGTGATGCTTGTTGCCAAATTGATTTTACACCATTGCCAAATTTCTACATCTCAATATGTCTTGCCTCAAAAATCATAAACTCGTTGCAATTTTTAAACTAAAAATCATTGAAAATTTGACTTTTGTGGCAACACTGTCTCAATGGCGCATACATACCTCAAAATTATTAAGCTACACAAAAGGCAACACTAATTCAATATCAAATTATCATTAGGCAAAAATATAAAATCTGTTTTTTTTTTAAAGATAAAAGTCAAACTGACATTATGTTGGCAATACAATGTAAAATTGTCAATTCTTCAAATTTTTTATGTAGAAAAGGCTTGTGTTGCCAACATAGTTACTAAATTTTTGACTTGGGGAATTATTTAAAAAAAAAAAAAACAGACTTTATTTAACTATGAAAAAGTTATATGAACGACACCTGTCATTTGTTTGTCATGATAGAATATTTGACAATTAAGAAGAAAATGGCGGATTTAAAACAGCAAAATTGATTATAATAAATAATAATTAAGTGATTATTCCCGGCGCTTGATCTGAATCAACAATCGGGAATAATCAAAAATTGAAAAAAATCAGCCAATCAAATCAATTTTGACGCCATTTTGTGACTTCCAATTGACATAAAACAATCTAAAATCAATGAAAAAATGGCGGAATTATGGTAGGAAAAATAGATTAATTGAGTGATTATTCCCGGATCTTGATCCAAATCAACAATTTTGGCGCCATATTGTAATTTTCAATTGACATAAAAAAATCAAAAATTAAGAAGAAAATGGCGAATTCATAATAGCAAAAATTAATTACTTGTGTAATTATTCCCGGCTCTTGATTCGAATCAAAAGCCGGAAATAGTCAAAAATTGAACATTGGAAATGAAATGATTAATCAATCAAATCGATTTTGATGCCATTTTGCGATTTCCAATTGACATAAAACAATCAAAACCAAAATGGCGGATTTATGGTATCAAAAATTGATCAATTGAGTGATTATTTTTGGCTGTTGATCTGCATCAAAAGCTGGGGTTCATCAAAAATTGAACATTAAAAATGATCAACCAATCGATTTTGACGCCATTTTGCAACTTCCAATTGACATAAAACAATCAAAAATACAGAAGAAAATGGTGGATTTATGGTAAGAAAAATTGATTATTCCGGGCTCTTGATCCAAATCAGCAGTCGGGAATAACCAAGAATTGAAAAAAATCAGCTTATCGAATTCATTTTGACGCCATTATGTGACTTCCAATTATTGACTTAAAACAATCAAAAATCAATAAGAAGATGGAGGATTTGAGGAAAAATTGCTTATTTGAGTGATTATTTTTCACGCCATTTTGTGGCTTCTAACATTAAAAAATTTGACATTTAGAGTAAAATTGCAGACAAAAGTTCAAAACAGTTGGAAATTAGATTGGAAATATTTCAATAATAATACATATTATATTCAAAAATACACAAAAAAATGATTTTCTTATTTAAAAAAAAGAATGGATTCCAACAAAACGTCCCTGTCATAAAAATAAAGAGAATTTTGACATTTTCATAAATTGTCAGGTAGGTACGTTTCTGTATCTTGATACTGTCAATTGTCAAACAAAAATGGCAGCCTTTGATTGGCTTATAATTTAAATTATCAGTTTCAAAATGGCCAATCTTATATTATATTGAACTATGAACAATTTGGCAACGTTGGTAAAAGAACAAAAAACAGTTTCTCCTAAAATTTAATTGTCTTTATAATTATTGTTGTTGTTTGCGCATTATTTATTTATTTTTCTTTTAGGTTACAAATATAATAAACAAATCAGCTGATGAATAAATTAAATTAAATAGAATATATAATACTACATGTGTTGACCAGTATATTTGCACAAAGACAAATAATAATAATTAAAACCGGCTATTTTTATCATTTAATTGACTCGATTTAATTGGATTTTTAATTATTTAGTCACGGTTGAAGTCGTCATAAATTTTTATTTGTTTTATATGTTATCATACAATCATACATAAATTCAATAAGAAAATATACAGTAAGTATACCTACAGTTCGTTTCACAAGGGTTTATACTTTTGACATAATTTGCCTTCCTTTTTTAACAAATTGAAATTGACTGAAACAAATCAATGACGTTACAAACGTTCGTCGGTTCTTAAATCACATTTTAAATTGTCAAAAAAAAAGTTCATACGAATTAATCTGCGACAACCCTTTTTTTATCATGACGTCTTCGATATCAAAAGTACTTTTTATCAACTTTTAATAAATTAGTTTGGAAATGGACATTTGTTACTAATATCACTTTTGATGATAAGACATCAAATGACTGTTGTATCTAAGTTGGCTATTAGCTGTCAACAATGTCATTTGTTGATACAAGATGAAAATTGGCAAGTGAAAACGTCAATTTTTGACATTTGAAAATGTTTTTCCACTATATATTTAATACGGGTCAAGTCAAAATAGCGTCTAACTCGATTCGATTGGCTGAAAAGTTTCAAAAGTTTTATATTCCTTGCTATTATTGGTTAGAATCAATTTTTTGATTATTCCCGGCTTTTGAATCGAATCCAAGAGCCGAGAATAATAACTCCATAAAAATTATGCTATTTTAAATCCACCATTTTGTTATTAGTATTCACAAAGCATATGTTAATGGAGAGCTTCAAAATGGCGTCCAACTCGATTTGATTGGTTGATAAGTTTTAAAATTTTTATATTTCTTGCTATTATTGGTTAGAATTAATTTTTGATTATTACCGGCTTTTGACTCGAATGCAAGAGCCGGGAATAATAACTCGATAAAAATGTTGCTATTTTAAATCCGCCATTTTGTTATTAATATTCACAAGGCATACCTATGTTAATGGAGAGCTTCAAAATGGCGTCCAACTCGATTTGATTGGTTGATAAGTTTCAAAATTTTTATATTTCTTCTTATTATTGGTTAGAATCAATGAGCCGGGAATAATAAATCCATGAAAATGTTGCTATTTTAAGTCCGCCAGTTTGTTATTAGTATTCACTACTCAGCAAACATTGATTATTGATGTTATATAACCTAGGAGTAACAAGTAATATACATAACATATTTATATAACTGTTACTTATTTGCAATTATCATTATTCTATAAAGATACATAACAATTGGCTAGTTAGTAAGTTATATTCACATTATATAACGACAATCAAACAAAGTTATATAAGAAAAGTTTGTAACATTAAACAAACTTTCAATATTATAGTTATATAACCCACAGGTAACAAGTAATGTAAAATATTTATGTAACAAATATCATAAATGTTAGTATTCTAGTTCTATAATCGTTACATTGAGAGTTTGTTAAAATATTATATTGATGTTATGTAACGACAATATAAATAAGTTTTATAAAACACTCAATGAAATAATTTTTCTATACAGGGTGTTAAAAATAGCATACGAAGACGGTTATATTAGAAAAAAGTTGCCATTTTCAAAGGTTATTAAAAATAGCTATTTCGTTGTTGCCAAATTTCTATTAGTTTCCGAAATACAGGGTGAATTGTATAAAGAACAATTTTAAGTATTTGTTGTTACTATAATTATGTATGCTAGGTTTACAAAATCTTCATAATTTCTTCTTTTATTTTTAGCAAATGGATTTGCAATCAAAGAGCCAGGACCTTACACTGCAAGTTTCAGTAAGTAACATTTTTCTTAATTATTATTTATTTATTTTATTTTAGTTTAATTATTCAATTGAACGTTTTTTTATTAATTTTTCAGGCGGTTCGTCTTCATCAGCTTCTGGTAAGTCAATAATTTTTGTATTTAATTAGCAAAATAATTCATTAATTCAATAAGTTAATTATCAAATAAAGTAATTATTATTATTTTAACAGCTTTTAGTCACGCCAGTTCAAGTTCCTACAGTTTCGGCAGCGGCGGCGCGATTAATCCAGAAAACTTGGCTGTAGGCGCTGTAGCCAAAGCCAGCGCTGTAGCTGGAGCTGGAATCCATAATGGACAAGCTGTAGCTGGAGCTGTAGCTCAAGCTGGAGCAGTAGCTGGATCAGCAGCTGGATCAACAGCTGGATCTTACGATCATTTTGGAGCAAATTTAGCTCAATCTGGACAAGGCTATTCTGGTGCTGGTACGTTTATTTACTTATTTATTTCTTCATTTCAGAATAAATTTACGAAAATTAAAAAAAAAAAAAAAAACATGGTTACATATTAACAATTAGTAAATAAAAACAATAAATAAGTAAATGACTCAATTTGAAAAATGCAGGTACACGACATTTTGTGGCCAATCACGGCCAAGCATTATTGTTCATGTTTCAAAGTTTTTAATGTCAAAATTCATCTTGAGAAAAAATACACTTTACATATACAGTGAGTTCATAAAGTCCCGCATAAATTCTTTATTTTGAAAACGGTAGAATATTTGAAAAATCGCTCAGACACGTCAATTTTGATTTTTTGTTTGAAATTTTTTGATATATTTTTTATCATACAGGGTGTACCCCCTATATATTATGACATTTCTGGATTCTACGGAAAATTCTAGACATATTTCATATACAATGTCATATACCTATCTTCAACTGTTTCGGAAATATGGACAGTTGAAAATTGACTTTTTGGCAACTTTCAACTTTGACAGGCTGTAAAACCTAAACGGTGAATTTTAGAGGAAAATCGATTTTACATTCCTATCTAAGATTTGCATAAACTATCATTTGACATCAACTTTGAAGTTAATCCATGATTAAAAATTTCGGTTAAATTTAATCTCCGCTTTAATTCAAAGTCGGTGTCAAATGATAATTTATGCAAATCTAAGATAGGAGTGTAAAATCAGTTTTCCTCTAAAATTTACCGTTTAGGTTTTACAGCCTGTCAAAGTTGCAAACAAGTCAATTTTCAACTGTCAATATTTCCGAAACAGTTGAAGATAGGTATATGACATTGTACATGAAATATGTCGAGAATTTTTCGCAGAATCCAGAAATGCGATAATATACAGGGGGTACCATTTAAAAAAATTAAGTTAATACCAACTAAGCTATTTTTGAGACACCCTGTATGATAAAAAAATATATCAAAGAATTTCACACAAAAAAACAATATTGATGTGCGATTTTTCAAAAATTCTACCGTTTTTAAAATAATAAATTTATGCGGGACTTTATGAACTAACTGTATAATTTGCTTATGAAGTTAATATGAGCCAAAAACCGTCCCAAAAACGGTTCTGAAACCACTCTGTATATGAATTTCGGTTTCTTCACATAAATTTTGTGCTTTGCGTAGAATCGTGTCGGTACAATGTACGGTTTCCTGCTGTGTTGTGTATGGAACAAAGCGATATTTTTTGTGTTTCTTGAGAAAAAGTCGAACCTTTTGATTGTCGATGATTGTTGTTACTCGTTGGCCTTACTTTAGAACGTGCCCCATTAACCATTTATTTATTTTCAAGAAATTCGTTAATTTTAAATTAAATGGATGGACGATGACTAAGAGGTGTCTTCCAACCTGCCAAAAAAACGTTTCTAGAACGGTTTTGCAACTACTCTGTAAACGAATCTCGGATTCTACGCACAAATTTTACGTTTTTACGCAAAATCCTGACGATGAAATGTACGGTTCCCTGTTCCCTGAGGTTGGAACAAAGCTATGGTATGTCATGTCATCTATGTCCAATAAGTCACCTATTTGTTCCGAATCTCTGAATCCCAAGACCCAAATATCTTCTTAAATTTTTATTTTAGCTGAAATTTTGAATAAATCTTAATTTTTACGTCAATATTGATAAAAAAATATCTCCGCACAATTCTCCGCAAAAAGCGAATCTCCGCACAATTCTCCGCAGACCCCAAAATTCTCCGAAAAACGGAGAATTCTCCGCCGATTGGCAACACTGTTCTGCCAGAAAGTCTATGTGTCTCTTTTCAATTTCGTCAATTGAAAGAGGATGGCCAACGAAATGGCTATATTGTTGCCACTATCGAATTATTATCGACATCAAGGCGAGAAAGGACATGCTGTCTACGTCACAATGGGCCCTTTGCACCCGTTTTTTTTTTATTGCTGACTTCGTTAGACAAGGAAAAATAAATCGACACATGTTTTTTCTTTTTCATGTAAGTCAAAAATTGACGGAGATACATCGCTTTGACATCTGCTCATGACGTCATAAGGTGTAATACTTTATGACGTCGCACATGCTCAGTATATCTATATATACAGAACTTAATATTTGTATAGCTTCCGGAATAATGGTACTTACTTGGACAAAAAAAATTTTTTTGTTGTGTGTCCTACAGTTTGCAATAACCAATATTTAATTAAATTTTTCATGCAAGTACCCTATTGGTGATTTGGCGTGGTGGGGGGCTTCAGATTTGTTCCATTATTGTTCCACACAGGCTTCATGAGAATAGGCTATCCTTTACCTTTAGTAGTAATGTATATTATCCTTGGGCTGTTTGCACTATACGTTATGATTCCAGGACCTTCTGCTTTATACATACTTGGTTTTACAATATTAATTAACGCAAAATTAAGGCCCGGTTTATTCATCTTCAGATAAACTTGCTGGTAACTATCTGTAAAATAAATTTATCGTTCTATAATTGTATTGTCGGCGGATAACTGGTCAATGAAATTACAGATTGCGTTTTTATCCGTCAGATTGCATACCTGACAGTTTATCAAAAGGTGAATAAACCGGCGCCAAGTATTATTCTAAAACAACTCTTTTTTAAATCTCTTTTTTATCTTCCTCTATGCCTATTATATTAGTCAAAAACAAAATTAACTAGTAATTTTCGTCATAAACTTAATTTTAAGCTAGGACTGCTAGTGTAAACAGTTGACGACTTAGTTATGACGTCGGAAATGGTGACAAACCAATATAGCGGTGATTACCAAAAACGAGGCCGATAAGCAATCCTTAGTAAAGTGTATTTATTATCCTTGGGATTTTCCCTTGGATGATATACACTACTACTACAGGATAGCGATAGCCTATCCGCATACGGCTTGTGTAGAACAAATCTGTCACTACGCCAAATCACTAATTGCGACGTAGGCAGCATGTCGTTTTTCGCCTTGACGTAGGCTGTTTGCACTACAAGTTATGATTCCGCGTGCTTTTGCTTTATGCATACTTGGTTTTGTAACATTAAATAACATTCTAATACAACTCTTTTTTTTCTCGTTTTTATCTTCCTCTTTGTCTATTATGTTGGTCAAAATTAAAATTAAATGATAATTTTCTTCGTACGTAAATTTAAATTTTAAACTACGACTGCTAGTGCAAACAGTTGACTACTTAGTTATGACGTCGCGATTACCAAAAACGAGGGTAATAAACAATCCTTAGTAGTGTGCATTATCCTTGGGCATTCACTGGTATAAATTCATGGTCTACTTGATAAACACTTTTGCTAAAAAGTTTATCCATCTTTTTTTAATGTCATCAATTAAAAAAAGGATGGCCAACAAAATGGCTACATTGCTGCCACTGACTTTTGACAGTTGTGAATGCATGGACAACTCGATACAAAGTGTCTATTTGTTTCTTTTAAATATTATTGACAGTCTCGTTTTGTCCTCGCCAGAGTGTGGGCGGTTGGTTTAAGGAGCTCAAAGAGAGACCAAATTTTGGCTCACCTCCGCGAGTAAAAACCGAGATTCATCGCCATCCGTGGATTTGTTTGCGTCTTTTTGACTAAGCCGGCTTAGATTCCTAGATAAATAGAAGGTTCACGCGTGGTTACGTTGGCAAAATGGCGGCCAGAGTCTGAGACTCGTGAAAACGCTGTTTGTTTTGACAGAAAAAGGTTATATCCGGTTTCAGCGATTGATCTAGGCAAATCCTGGATGTGCCTTTCACATAAAGAAAAATTGAAGATAGAAGAAAAGAGTGAAACAAATAGGGGACCTATGATATGGCCTAGAGCCAGACAACATCAGGGTCACCACGAAATCGTGCTGGCAAATTGCCTCAGTAGTAGCGCCATAAAAACAAGCAAGCAAGCAAGCAGCAAATATTATTGATTAGAAAAAGACCGAAGAACACCGAAAAAAGAATCTACAAATATCGCAAACGTATGATTTGGTTGATTTTTGGAAATGCCTATTTCTTGACATTGGATTGGGTGAATGCATGGCCTACTTGATGTAACATTGTGTCAGAAAATCGAGTCGTCTCTATTTAATATTACTTTTGGCGTATTCAGGATTTTGGTTTGGGGGGGCTGTGTTAACAAAAAATGTTGACCAGAAAAAAAATCGGCGCAGGTGAAAAAATTTTTTGAAGCCACGCAGCTTAGCCCAACGGGCCACTTTCACGTTCCTCTCATTGGATAAAGCCAATATTCATGCGCTTGTTTCCACATGAGAAATTCCCAAATATTTCAGGATCATTGTAATAGGTCATAAAGTCAAAGAGGTTATAGCAAGAGTTCACCAATTATACCTATATCCTTTTTTTTTATGTTAGTAAGGACGAAAATAATAGGTCATAGGTAATGAATTGTGAAATAACTAGTTTCATGTCAGCCATGTTCTGGAATGATTTACAAATGAGAAATTAGGCAACCTCGCATTTTTGGGGAAGTGACGTCAGTTTCCAATCCCGCGTTTTCGCAGCAGTTTAAAAATTCGATTTTCAAATAATTTTATTATCAAGAATAAGTATACAGATGTTATGAGAATAACTAATAGATAGAAAGTTGCCTATTTTTTTTCATGAATTCACATGTTACATACATACCCAAACGTTACGCGCCTATAATTTTTTGCAAGGCGACAAAAATATTCGCATCGGTCTGCTTTTTTTTTGTGGCAAGGTGGAGAAATTTTGTGCACGGTGTGGGATGCAAACTCGCACATGGGGTAAAATGAAAGCCTTCGCACTTCCACTAAATTGTAACATATATTAATATGAATACATTTCATACTGGAAAGATACCCAGAAGGTAGAGCTTTCAAATGAGGTACGAAACCTGCATTTAACTTATACATGGAATATTAGCTTGAGAAAATGAGGAGCGACATGCTCATGTTCTAACATCTTTCAAGACTTGACAATACTAGCAAAAATATGAAGTTGTTACGTCTGGTGCATAGTTGCACATGG